ACAGACGTCCGCCCCAGTGGTGATTGCTTTACAACGGCAAGGGAAGCTGAGCTTCCTCTGAAATGACATGTGATAGTAATTTGTCAAACGTATACTGCTTTATTTGCATTTCACCTGCTAATGGATGCTGTAACATAATGAACTTTATGACTAGTTCAGAATAAACGTCATGTAAATCGGATGCATTTGTCCTCTACTAGTTGTATTGTATATATGTATATGTGTGTATGTGGGTGTATATTATGTGTGTATATGCATACAGTATATTTATACATATAAGTATATATCTATATATACATGTATATATGTGTGTATATATGTATATATATGTGTGTATATATATACACACACATATATACATATATGTATATATAGATATATACTTATATGTATATAGAGAATATATATGTACACACAAATATTATATATAACAGTATATATTCATATATTCATATATATTTCTCTATATACATATACAGTATATATGTATTTGTCTTCATCTGTGTCAAGGCCTGGCTTACCTTGCCCAGATCATTTTTCACCACAGGGGCCAAATCGGGGACATTCAAATGGCGGCCTCCGTACCCCAGCCGTCCCTTGAGCCACCTTTTTGTGGACCACATGCACGTGTGTGGACATGAGCGTTTTCCTTTTTCATTGCTTTCACTGTGTGTGTTGTGGTTTGGTCAGACTGGATAGTTGTTAGTAAACATAGCCAGTTGCACATCAGTGTGTGTTTAGAGTTGTCTTAATGGGTGGTTAAGTGCGAAAGCGAGGCATCTGCGCGATGATTGGACGAACTGTTCAAAGCACACAAAAAAAAAAACACTTACAGACAGACAGACAGACAGACAGATAGATAGATAGATAGATAGATAGATTCTTTTTACACCGCTAGAGGGCACTGGTTCGACTTATACTCCGGAGAGACTTATAGTCCAGAAAATGCAGTGCATATGATAACAGGCATAACATGAATATAAAGAAATCGCAGAGTTCCGACCGGAGTTGTCTTCTCCACTGCAACAGGAAGTCAGACTGAAGCCTCATTAGGCTGCAGCCGGAACATTCTTTAGAATAAATCCCGATTAGTCGTCAAAAAACTACCATGGAGCGGAATGAAAGAATATTTGGAATATTGTGTTATGGTATGATGTCACTTTTAGTCTTTCACAACTCACATTGCACACAAATCTAACAGCCTTTGAAGTCCGGCCTGTGCCGAAACATGAGGCTGCCAACCAAACAGTCTGCAGCCAACTGGGCATCAGTCCCTCAGAACTGTTCTCTGCTCTCCGGTTCCTCTCATTGGTTCCCCTCATACGATCCTCCCGAGGGACGTAGGACTTCAGTCTAATCACCTGTCTGAGCGTTTCAGGCAGCAAAACAGTTTCATGGACCAGAGTGCACACAGTATAAATACACAAAAGACAGGATACAAAAAAAAAAAAAAAACAAGCGTGTGTGTCTTTATGTGCACCAGTAAAGGTCACGTCTTCAGCCGCTCTGGAAATTCAGTATTTAAAGGAGCGGTTCGGGTTACTGCTCTGATTTTGCTCGTGCATGCACAGACTCTCGTGTGCACACACTCAACACAACTTTAGATATTGAGCCTACTTGAAAAAAAAGCCTCTGCCAATAAACTCCTGTGGTGTATCACAGTTACAAAGAGGTGCAAATTGTTCGGTCGGGCCGGGTGCCAACAAACACATCTCTCTCCCCTTGTGTTACTCTCTCGGTGTGTGTGTGTTTTAAACTCCGGACAAATGCACACACAACCGTCGCATATGGTGCAAAGAGGATGTCTTTTCTGAGGATTTATAGTCAAAGAATTCGGAAAGAAATGTGATAAATATATCTTTATTTACAAAAACGCCAAGCTTATTTCTGCATCTTGTCCATTTAAGTCTAAAGACACGGAGACACGACCTTCAACTTCTTGTCTTGTCTAAGCATGAAAATCCAGCTCCTGTCAAATGTTGTTTCAGCTTTTGGAATTTTATTTGGGAATCACATGGAGCTGGATTAATACATACTTTTATCATGTTTTCATTCACCTTTGATAGGAATTCCAAATCATTCAATCAGTTGGGGGATAAAAAAGATAAAAAATAAATACTTTATAATCTAATAAACTATAATAACATGGGATAAAAAGTTTTTGGAACTTTTTTTTTTAGATTTCTAAAAAGGTTTTAGAACTTTTTAGAATTGCTTTAGGATTCTGTCATCTATCTATCGATCTATCGATCGATCTATCGATCTATCTATCTATCTATCTATCGATCGATCTATCGATCTATCTATCTATCGATCTATCGATCTATCGATCTATCGATCTAGTTATTTATCTGTCTATCGATCGATCGATCTAAATCCTCTGATGGTAGCCTTTATTTTGAGTATATTTTGTGGTGAACTATTGAAAACTCAGAGTCACTGTCTGAAATTGTGTGATAACATTATATATTAATAACGGATCATTGGCATATGTTGGAGACACCTGTGAGACATGTCTTTCCAGGACTTGGTCGTTTTAAAAAAAAGTACTTTCTTGAATGATAACATGTCCTAGAACTTTCTTAGTTTCCCTTTGGTAGCCACTATTTGCGGTCGTCTCTTGTCTTTCTGCACAGGCGTCAGGTCAGAGGTCAGAGGTCAGAGAGCACCAAGGTGATAAATGCTTCCAGGTCAACCCTCCTGTCTCTGAGGATCAGGTACTGCAGTTTCTGCAGTGGCAGCAACAACATGATCACTCAGCTGCAGCACCACAGCTGAACTTTCTGACCCGGTTCGGTCCCTTGTTGTCTCTGCTTCACCAATTTCATTTTACGTTCCAGGACGGTGGTTCTGAACTGGTGTAGCCGCGGGAGCCACCGTCACTCCATAATCACAGGTCGCATCCTGTATCATTGGGACTCTTTGTCTTCTCAGATTTACTGAATGAAAAGATGAAACGGTTTTAACTAGAGATAAAGTGTCACAGTTTGCTTCGAGCTCGATGAAGTAAGACGTGTTCTCATGTCTTGGAAACCTCTTCCGAAATACTCTACGTGTTTATCTTAGAGAGAATGGCGTTCACGTGCCAATGTCTTGCAGCACAAAACACATTGTTGAGTGTGAGGTCTGTGTGTCTCCTCTAGACCAAGGCACAAAATAACTGGAACTGGAACTTTTTATTTTGGGTTTCGTTTTGGTTTGTTCCAGAGGCCTTGTAGTCTTCTTGTACCTGCTTGGGTCTGTTTTTGTTTTCTCGTTCGGGACGATCTTGGTTCCAGGGGTTTTGCCTAGTTTGCTATGTTTTTGCCTTGAGTTTCCAATAAAAAAACATTTATATTTCACATTGTCTATGTCAGGCATGGGCAAACTAAGGGCCGAGGGCCCGGATGAGGCCCGTTTAGCTTTTTAATCCGGCCCGCCCAACTTTTCCAAATTATATAATTTATTTATATTATCATTATACTTCTGCCTTTTCCCTGCAACACCCACGTTTCCCCAATAGATGGCGTAGAAAATGATAAAAGCATTTTGGCATTTTAGCCTTTATGCATGACTTTTACGTGTCATTTATCTTAGTTCACACGAACGCTCCATCTCTCTGCTCCTGACTCACCCCACTGTTCAATTTTAGGACGATTGTGGCCCGCAATTCAAAAAGTTTGCCCACGCCTGGTATATGTCAGACCTGCCACCGATCAATTCTCAACTACCGTATGTAAACAGAGTTTGTCTGTTTATCGATGTCTGTCAATCGATGCCTTGTGCTCCGGTCATCTTGTGCGCTAAATCTAATCTGGTTGACTTTCATAACTAGTATAATCTCATTATAAACCCCCTCCTGGTATGGCCGCCGTGCAGAACAGTGTGGCAGAGGTCACACTCACACACACACACACACACAAACACACACCGCTTGCTGAGAAATGCCACAGGACCGTGTTCTGACCAGAATCCTTCTCCATTAAGCAGGAGATTACACACTCGGATGCATCACTGGAAACACTGGAACAGCAACAGCTTAGACTGTTCCTCATTACATCCATGGCTCACATGCCTGTCAACTGTTACATGCTCATTTGTTCTTGGAACTGAGGGCCACTTGCAAAGTTTCGATTTAGAAAATGAGATTGTTTTGAGGATATTTTTTTTTTTGGAAACGCTGATCAATCTCATCTCAAATATATTGTTTTCTCTTGTGATTTTATTCTTTTTTATTATTATTATTATTATTATTCTCAGCCAGTCAGTTTTCTATAAACCTTTCAGTTTGTGCTACGAAAGTACTCGATATTCTTCTCCTCAAGTGTACCTCAAATTGTCCACTGTTTACATGATCCCAGGTCTGACACGCTGTGTGTTTCTTTAACAGCCACCAGAGGAAAGTCCTCCCTGATTTGTTTGGGTTAGACAGCAGAGGAATGAGGGGGAAGGAAGGGAAGACAAGAGAGAGGGTGGTGGTGAGAGGTGAGGGGACCTTAGGGGGAAGTGAATCGTGGTGGGCTGAGTAATTTTGGACAATGCGCCGTGCATTTTAAAAAGAGAACAGAAAGGGCTCGGAGCGAGAAGGGGAGTGGAGGTTTGCAGAAGGGAAAGGGCAAAAAAAAAAAAAAAGGGGTGGGTACGGGCGAGAGGTGGCAGAAGGAGAGTGAGGGTGGGAGGGTACGGCAGGGTGATGGAGGTAAAGAGAAGATAATGAGATGGAGGAGAGGAGAGGAGAGGAAGGAGGGGAAAAAAAAGCAACAGAAGGGGAGAGAGCAGAAGGCCTGAGGCCGCATGCGAAGAATGACAGAGGGGACGGACAGAGGTGGAGAAATGGGGAAAGGCAGGAGAGGTGGAGGTGGAGGTAGAGGTGGAGGAGAGAAGGGGGTTCGTTGGGGGTTACATTCCTGAAACGCAACCATCTCCGGTGCCCAATGCAAACACAGAGCTGAGAGGTGGAGTGACAGCCTGTCAGTGTGTCTCGTGAGACGTAAGGAAGCCAGTGTGAAAGACAACACAGCAAATGATAAGCATTTAATTCAAATGTACATCGATCTCTACAGTTCTGATAAATATCTTTACATTTGAACTTCCATTTCTTCTATAGAGATAAACACTACACGGATCCCCTTTTTTCGCCTTCCTCTGTTTCTTACACTTCAGTCGAGAACCTGCTTGCCTGTCCGATCAAGTATTGCAGAACAAGAACAAGCGCTGCATCGCGATGTTAGCACGCCATCTACTGGACATTTATTGTAATACAGTTTATCAGCCAGGGAATTCTCGACCGTTCTAAACAGTTATTTACATACAGTATTTCAATTGCATCCATCTGTTCAGAAAGTCAGTCCAACGACATGATTCATTAAATAGCGGTTTAATACTTACATTTGATCTTACACACAAAAATGAGTAAACAAATGAGTTAACGTTACCTACTCAACATTCTTAAGGGAATATAATTTAAATTAAACTTTCGGTGATAAAAAAAAAACCAATGAAAACAAAACATGAAAAATAAATATTGAGGACTACAAGCTACTGAACCTGAGAACAGTGACATCAAGGATGTGCTTATACAACCAGGACATAAAAATGTGAGTAACAGTCATTTTATCACAAAAGAAAATGAAGGAGGCATCTTCTGTATTTGATATTGCACCACAAAAATTGTAAAACACTAATGTTAACCTTGTAATATATGTCAATTTTATTTTTTCTGTAGAGAGTGTTTGCCGCGTTCTTTTAAGGAACTGTCTTTGTGTCAGACAACACAAAGTTTCAAATCCCGAACGTGAACAGGTGAAACCAGACTACTATTATAAATGGTTATTAGACCGACACTTCAAACATTTCCAGATTTTCCAGTGAATTGTTTTGCATAACGATCTGGGAATGTTCCACAATGCAATGATCACTTTAGGCCGCAGGCATCACCGACTTGGCCCAAGCACATGACTGTGTGTGTGATCCAAGCTATTCACGTACATGTAAAGCAGGGGTGTCAAACATACGGCCCGTGGGCCAAAACCGGTTGGCTATGGTGTTCAGTCCGGCACATTTCACAAATGTGTTTAATAAGTGGGAGAAAAAGCACCAAAAAAACACTCCATGTTAGTAATATTTTGTCAAATGATATTTCATAACAATAGGCTTGTACTTATTTACATGAAAACAAACATGGACTTATTATTATTATGTTATGATTGTACTGCTCCAGCCCACTTGACATCTAGCCAGGCTGTTGGCAGCCCCTGAACCAAAATAAGTTTGACACCCCGATGTCACATTGCCATGCACACAAAAACTACTTCTAAGTGTATTAATCCCTTTGGTAGAAAACATTAAGGTAATTCATGTTAATATGAAACTTCGAAACCATTACTACGCAAACTAGATGCACCGTTCCAACAAAGCTGACGTAGCTACTATAAGCCGTAGTCAATCACTGCTATTTTTTTTTTAATTTAAATATTTCAATAATCCACAGGATTATTAAAATATATACAATTTACTTAAGCTACTGTTCATTTTAAATGTATTTAAAAAAAATACAAAACTAACTATAATGTGCTGAAATTGTCTTCTGCACAGTTGTCAGTGTAACTGTCAACCTTAAATAACACATGTTCACGTTCACAGCATTCACTGCTCAAAACGCAGTCCTTGACAGGCTTCATGTTGTACAAAAACCAATGCATGGGCACAAACAAGAAAACTGGAATTCCTGTCATTCAGAGATATCTGTCACAAATGCAGAAGTTCACTGAGATGCTTATTTCAAAGGTTGAAAATCCATCTTGGGGTCCGACCTCATGGTTCTTCGCTTTTCGAGCTATTGTTAAAGGACTGCATCTCTCTAGAGGGACAAAAGTGACAATGAATTGCAAATGTCAGCAGTAATAAGGTTTTTTTTTTTTTTTTTATGTAAAAACAACATCAACTTACTCCCGTATGTTGTCCCCAAGTGTTGCTGTTTGCTCTTTTGGAAAATGAAATAGAAAAGAAATTAATGAATTTGTTTACACATTTTTCACCCAGGTATATTTCATGTATAAAAGTGTGCGTCTTCATACTTACTGTTCTTTTTCCAATAACAATACAGGAATACCAAAACCACAATGGTAATAGATCCTAGAACCCCACCAGCTATTACTGCAGTATTTGGCCAGTCGGGTTTGGAAGGAACTTTAGCTTGACCTTGAAACAAAAACAAACAAATAAACACATAATAAAAAATATATTATTATTATTATTATCATTATTATTATTATTATCATTATTATTATTATTATCATTATTATTATTATTATTATCATTATTATTATTATTATTATTATTATTATTATCATTATTATTATTATTATTATTATTATTATTATTATCATTATTATTATTATTATTATTATCTATTGACATTACGTACATGTACAATCTTACGTACGATAACTATCGGCCATATACTTATTGGTCCCAATATCAGAAAATGAGACGTCAAAACGATAGGTCCAATATCATAACAAATATTCCCCATAGCATATATATACTGTACATATATAAATATATATATATATATATATATATATATATGTATATATATATATGTATATATATATATGTATATATATATATGTATATATATATGTATATATATATATACATACAGTGGGGCTTTAATATACGAGTGTTCAACCGAGCTCCATTTTTCCACTCAACACTCAACGCTTTATTTCTCTCTCTCTCTCTCTCTCTCTGCCCCCCTCTCTCTGCCTCTCTCTCTCTCTTTCTCTCTCATCTAAAGCTAGCTCCGCGTGTGTTGTCAGCTGGCCTAAAGAAGCTGTAGATGTAACCTGTGTTCAGTGTAAAACGGCCTATATCTAGTCGAACTGCAGCAATTTTGTTTAAGATGGTAAACTCTACATAAAACATACGTCATAACTCGAGTGGTTTCTCTCATTCCGAGATGGAGTTCCCTGGAGTTCCCCTTTGTATGTGCTAAAAGGTTTCTGTTGTCTTTCACACTTCTCCAAAATAACCCTGTGGTCAGTGCATGAATCTAGTTTGGCTCAGGGAACTTTTGCTCTGCTAATACTCACAAATGGAGACCATTTTTGAAGCAACATTTCCAACAGAGCAGCTGAGGTTCGTCCACTCTCCTGCGGAGCAGTTGAAGACAGCGGTGGAGGAGCTGCTGTACAGCATGGTGCTGGAATTCTGATCTTGGC